GCATATTTTTGTTATTTCTGATGAGACACAGTGACCTTGTCTATTTCAGCATTCTTCATGGTCAATTCTAGTTACTGACTGTTTCTTATGAATTTGCAGTTGTTATATTTGATGAAATACAGTGACCTTGTCTATTTCAACATTCTTCATGGTCAATTCTAGTCACTGACCGTTTCTTATGAATTTGCGGTCTCATTGTGTCTTGTCAGAAAATAAAATACAGTGCTATCTAAATAGACTCTTGAGTTTTCAGTAGATTGCATTCAATTCCCTGAATTGACAAAGTGAATTTTATATTAAGTATTCAGTAAGCACATTGACCATTTAAATCTACAAATGAAACATCACTAGGTAGCATAATTTTATTTCCAAAATGAGAAAATATAGTTTAGTTGCCTAATCAAACAGATAAGTTATTCACAAACATACAGCCAAGTTTTAGAAGCCAATAGAGCTAAGTCTTTCGAGTTTTCACTGCGGCAGTGCACACAATTTCCACGTACCAACATTAATTTCGGTGCAGTTGAATCTTATTTCAGTCACTTTTGCAAGCTGTAAAGAAATGTGTCTGCGTATACAGTGCCTTTCATATTATAAAAATGTTTCCTACTGACGTTGAAAAATATCGAGTTTTAGTCCTGAATTTGAATTTTAATCAGTTTTATAGCGTTTCCACTCGGTTTTACGTGCAGCTTCAGTGCAATTAGTTGTCCAACTGAACATTTTCAGTTCATATTACATCACTGGTAACATGTTTCACTCTAAAACTAATGTATATTCCAATTAATAAAACAGCGTTTGAAACCATAGGGAAGCGAAGACTCTCGCTATGATTCTTTAATATTGGAGGCTATATTACACCCGCCTAATATTTATGACTTTTCTGTGTTGGAAGATGATCATATCATCACATCTCATTTTGTTGTCTTTTTCATATTAGAATACATCCTGATGCCAACATCGAACTCGTAGTATAACTCAATCATTAGAATGGCCATGATTTTGAATTAGTTGCCATCCGATGAATTTGCACTCAGTGTGATTTTATCTCCAACGTCTCTGGTAAGTTGTGGAGTACCAGTGGCCAGTGCACTGATTCATGTCGATGTGTTGTAGTCTATTTCATGGTCATGTTGTGATTATCTCTACCTCTTATCAAGTTATGCAATGTCACTTCAATTATACCTGCCAGGGATATTTCCTCCAGCTCACATTCAGTAGATTCTCCATTAATGGTGAACATTTGATTGTTTCATTATAAACTTATATTTTGTCTTTTGATTCAGAGAAATAGAATCCAACGGCTTCAAACATTCGTAAACTTGTTCCACTGAGATCACATTTTTTCAAACACCATTCGAGTATTAGGTCAAAACTGGTGTAATGTCAGTGTTGCACTGTAAAACCTAGTGGAGAACGCTATTAAGCAATCCATGTCCAAGTTTCTAGTTTCCAGAGTTTGTAAAAGTATGGAGAAATTGAACCAAATGTGTATTTACTCGAAATGATGCAAATTTTCAAACCTCAGTAGAAAAAAATCTTGTTTACAAGGTAATACTTTTCTTCTGAAAAATTATGAATTTTAGAGAAATATCAAGTTTATATACACCCAAGTAGGAGCTGTTAGAGTTTTGTAGTGCATTAGGACGAAAAATGTTTCATAGTATATTTTAGTAATAATGTTCGAAAAACGTGTTTCTGGTTGATAAGTGGTTTCCTCTGAGTACTTCCAAAAATTTTTTTGTTCTTGGTCATACTCACATTTTTTGAACAATGAAATGTGGTTTGCCCAGGATAACCATGAATTATCTTCACATAAATAAGTTTATGTACATTTTTTTGCATTGAAATTATTTACCTGGATTATGAAAGGAATCAAACGATTAAAATACACTCTATCATCTTATTCAATGATCATTATTATCCACCAAATATACAGGCTCAGTAATAACCAAATATGCCTAAATAAAATATTGCTGTGGAAAAAGATACAGGGCGTTTCAATCGAAATTTATTCACTGACAAGAAATGTAATCTACCAGCAACAATTATCTGACAGTACAAAGCGCACTCTTCATAAATTAAATCATATTTGAAATCTTCTTCCGAGACTTTGAACTGTTCAATTGTGTTGTTCTTGAAAGCGAATTGAACTATTGTGTTCAAACAAGAGTGCCAAATACTACGTAGACATTATGTTCATGTCAAATTTTCTGATCAAAATCACTAATGTTTGTAAATGTTTCATCAAAAAAAGATACCAGTGAAATTGTTAGCAAAAAATTTAAAAAATACAACTTTCACGCACTGTATCTTAATCCACAGCAATTTTTCATCAAGGTATATTTGGTTATATCGCCATATTTTGTTTCAAACAATCTACCCTTAGCCTAGGTCCCAATAGTTATAACTGTATAAAAGAAAGTCGAAACTTTGTGGGAATTGGTGGGTTTTTATTCCTGTAAATTCAAGGTGGCGGATCCAATATGGCGGATTTTGTGATTATGATCCGATTCTATTTAAAATTGATATCTGGGGGTTTTCAATATCGGAGATTATGGTTCCTTTGTGGAAATTGGAAAATTCAGGATGGAGGATCCAATATGGCGAACGAGTTTTGTAATTCTTCTATTCAAAACTGGTATTTAGAGATTTTCGGGATCAGGAATTATGATTTCTTCGTCAAAATTAGAAAATTCAAGATGGCGAATCCAATATTTTTGTTGTTCTTGTCGGAGATTATGATTCTTTCGTCAAAATTTGTAAGTTCGGGCAAAATTTGTAAATTTGGGCAGAATTTGGAAATTCGAGAAGGCGGAACTAATAAAGCAATTCTATTCAGAATTTTCATCTGGGGTTTCACGAGTCGGAGATTAGGATTAGTTCGTCAAAATTGGGAAATTCAAGTGAAATAAAAAGGGGTAGAGAATAAACGATAGACAAACTGAAAAGAAGTAAAAAATAAAATAATGATAGTGGGTTGATGAATATTAAACTGAAAAAATATTTTCTATAAATAATGTATTTAGCAAAGCAACGTTTGTGGGGTCAGCTAGTGTGATCAATAAGGGTCGGTTCATCAATCATGAGCAGTGATTTTCGAAACACCTGATTTGATTGGTAGAAAAAACCTATCAAAGGTAATCTCTAGTACGGTGTCTGCCCTCATCGGTATGTTGTCAGCCAAAAAAATTATAGAATTAATGAAAATGAAATAGAATAGAATAGAATGAAAAAGTTAATGCAATTTATCATAGCAGTACCAGTGAGCAGTTTCAAATAATGTTATTTAAGATAAAATAATAAAACTGATGCAGTGACTTGGAGACAAAAGGAAACAAATTGGAAAGCAAAAGAGGACTGCTAATAATTTCTGTAAGAAACTCACAACATACAAATTGAATATTATTACTTGAACAATTTTATTTTATATGTTTCCTATCTAACTACTGTAGTTTCATTTCCTCTTTCCACATTTGCTCCAGGATCATCAACATAAGGAGTTTTGCTGAGCAAAACCTTTATTATCAAAATCATTATGAGAATAATTTCCAATTTCATAACTGAATAAACTCGGAGAATGACAGTTTAACTAACAGAAAATTCCATTGGCAGGAACTGGTGGAGTGTTTCCCCACTGAGCGTATTTATACCTTTTGTTTTACACTCCACCAGTTCCTGCCAATGGAATTCACTATAAGTTACTAGAGGTTGAGCCTTAGCTTGTAGTCAATTTGGCTCAAGTTACGATTGATAAACCAACCTTTTTACAATAAGAACGCAAGAAGTTCACCTTACGTCGGCACTTTCCATCTTTCCTTTAAGGAAGGGAAAACTACCTCCTATTCTGATGCCGTTTTTGTGCCATGTGTTGGGTAACAGCACAGTATATTATCCTAAAGTAGACAGTAAGTTCTTACTCATATAAAGTCATGCATAGACGTGCAATAGCTCAAAGTTGACGAATTTACGAAGAGGCCAGCATTATATTTACAACGTGTCTCAAAACTTCCAGAAAAGGGTTTGTTCTATTGTTATGGTTGCTGTATGTTTTCAATCTGTGATTGGTGCAATTGTTTTATTATTTGTACCTATTATTCGCAACTCTTTAGATTATACTTAGGAAATAAAATAAAAGTACGTCCTCGTATGTTTGAGGACTAAAGACCTGGTTTCTCTTACCAGATCGGCCCGAAATATTTCGGCGAATATCAGCGTACATAACGTGGATATTCGCCGGATTCAGTTCGTTCAGAAGTTTCGTCGATGTGTGGATTGTCTGAAGACAATTTTCGTAAATTTTCGTTCCGATATATTTCAGCCTTCTCGTAGGGTGTTTGCGGCAGTCAAAATAAAAAATGGATTTTTTTATTGCTTTGATTTTAGAAAAAGAACATGATGCCGATGATGAGTATGTGTTATCGGGAGTATGTACTAAAAATAATAAAGTTTCGAAAATTTTTGAGAAAAAGGCCAAAGAAGTTGTTTATGAGTTGTTAGTGTTGAAGCATCTTTCAGATAATGATACAAAATTCGAAGGATTTTTCCGTTCAACTCCATCACTATTCCATGATCTACTGAATCATATAAAGGAAGAAATCAAACACACTACACTATTTCGGCGAACTGTGCCGTTTTGAAATCGTTGAAATCAACACTGGTTGATTCCGACGAACTGCTATCCGTTCACTTTCCCGAAATTTCGGTCCGATCTTTTACAAACCGCCACTACGTATTACAAATACGCTTGGTTTCACCGGAAATGCTAACGAACTTTCTGTGCTATATCAACGAAATATTTCGGGCCGATCTGGTCAGAGAAACCAGGGCTCAAGATTGGGCATCGTATATTATGCTTCAGTTGAAATTCGGACACAGAATAACAAGTTCTGTCGATATGAAGTGCTCTTACTGTCTCGTTTAGATAATACACTGTGGTAATAGGTACAACAACACAGCACTCAGCACCCTCCCAACCAACAGACCGAACGATCACTCACCTCAACTTGCTCTTCAAATTGTTGATCTCCCTCGCCATCGACTCGTGCGACTCCAACATGTCCTCGCACTCCCTTTGCGCTTTGCGCTTCTGCGCCTTCTCGCGCGTTACCTCCTCCTCGGCCTCGTCCAGCTGCCGCTTCAGCGCCTTCACCCGGGCGTTCCCCTTCTCCGCTTGTTCCTTGTGCTGGTCGGCGTGCCGGCGCTCGTCTTCGAGCTGCATCGCGAGCTCCTTGTTGCGCTTGTCCAGCTTACGGTTGGTCTTTTGCTGGGCCAGGCGCTCCTTGGCCTCCACCTACGATCGGAGTGGAATTATATAAATGGTTCTCAAGATTCGAACTGTTTATAAACTGATGTTCAGGTTAACATTTCCAAGTTAACAAAAAATGGACAAGAGTTGAAGAAGTTATAGAGCGATCAACATGACAAAATTTTTTGCCGGTGAGTATAGATTCGTACAGTCGATTGAAACTGCACATGTTTCTTATGGTTTCAAACTGTTCATTTTTCCAACGCAAACGATTTTAATAGCTCAACAAAGTAACATGTGATCTATCAAACCCTCAAAAGTATAAGATACTGTTTCACGTTCAACTGTCAAAGTCTTGGTCCGTCTTTCAAATTGTCTTCAATTTTTCCATTTCCGTGTTCCGTAGTCCTCAGTATATTATTATGTAGTTTATAAAATATGTTTTGCATTACTTGTTAATATGTTTAATCTTATCAGAGCCAGTTTTTTCTGGCTCTTTACCAAATATAAAAACATTTTCCTCATGTGCCCGACTCCGATAGCCCGTAGACGAATTGCTTAGCTCATAACATGTTTGTTTTGCCATAGTAATGCTACCTAAAGCTTAATATTTTGGTATATCCTGAATTTTTTACTTTTTTCAATTGTATTGTTATTTCATCATTTTCCAGGTACTTTTTATGTCTGATGATGGCCGTTGCGCCAAAACCGGTTACATGTATTAACTGATTGTTTCATATAAAGTGTGGTCGACCGACTTTGAGCTACTTGTTTTCTTTGAAATAACTTTGGACCACTTTGAGATATGGGTGATTTTCATGATTTAACTTGTAAATGTGTACAGTCAATTGAAACTGCGCATGGTTCTTATGGAATGGAAACTGTTCATTTTGTGAAAGCAAACGATCTTAGCCGCTTAACGAAGTATCCTGAGACGGTGTCAAACCTACAAAAATCTACGCCAACAATCCTAAACGCCAAACACGGATGGATGAATGAATGAAATCGTGAATGGTGGGGATAACTCTGCGGAATCATTCCAGAGAGTTGATATTCTTTAGATATATTTAATATAAATGAATCGGGATTTATACGAATGTGTGTATGTGCATTATTGAATTAACTCTGCCGCGTATGCGTAGCTGCACATGGTTCTTATGGCGAAAAATGAAAAATTCAGTTCGAGTCAACGTCTACGGTAAAGACAACTCACAATAACGGCGAACTTGGGCACACAATATCACACGTACTCGCCTTCTAGATAGGTTTTTCATTCAGATCGATAACGCCCTCGATTCTTTGACCATGATTCCACAAAGTTAACCCCACCATTCATCAATTGATTCAACAAATCGTTTTTAAGAAAGAAAACTCGAAGTCGTCTCCAGTCAACGCAGTCAATTCTGCTTCAATAAGGTTTGAGACATGTGTCGGCAATTCAAATGGTCAAATTGGTACATCAAAGTGTATCTACAATAGAAAACCCAACCTCAATTTTAACATACCATGAAGAAAATGAAAAAGGAAATTCACAAAGTTTTAAATGCAACATTGCATTAGTCAACAGTTTCAGAAGTGTAAAAGAATAATGGTGATTATTATAAAGTATTACAATATTAATTGATTAGTTATTGATAAGTGAAAGTGAACAAGTGAAGAAGCCAAATTTTTATTAAAGCACAAATTATGATAACAAGATGGCGAATTTGAATAGCCAAAACATGTCTCTTAACAACTTCATTGAAGCAGGATGGACTGCATCTTTTTTAACATAAAACTTGTGGAGTCGAGTTTTCTGTCTTGATCATTCCACTCCACTTTGAGTATGGACTAAGTACTACAGAAAAATCGTATTTATCCATTCTATCGCCTACCTCGAGCTGCTCCTCTAAATTGGCGATCTTGCTCTCGAGCGCCGCGATCGTCGCCTTCGTCTTCGTCCGCTGCGCAGTCTCCAGCTCCGCCAGCTTCGCCTTGAGGTCCTTGTTCTGCCTTTCGAGCAGCAGCCGCTGCGACTCCTGCTTCTGCGCCGCGCCCCGCTCGCCCGACAGCTCGGCGGTCAGCTGCTCGATGGTCAGCTGCGCCTTCCTCGCCCTTTTGAGAGAAACATCTACCATTATGTACTCCTTTTCATGGCGTGAAGTGTTTTGTCTACCAAGGTAACTTTCGTCATTGCAAGAACTACTAGCCACCTCTACTACTATCAACCCGAATTCACTATTCTGATGCGAGATTCGCAGGAATGACACCCGAATATAGCAGGTATTTATTAAAAACGACCTGTCATATATACTGTCATGGTCACTAGATTTTAATAAGAATCGAATAAAAATACTTTCATGGTGACAATAGGTGCATATTTCAGTTTCACAGAACTATAATAATTGAAATATATTGCTAATGGCGAAAAAAAAATTAATATACACCTTGGTAGTAAGGAATATCATTACCACGGGACCTTATATCCCTCGGAGGGTGCCTCGGATATAAGCTTCGTCTCTGGGCAATATTGATATTCTTTACAACATTGATATATAAATAACTATTACTCTCTGTATTAGATACCCACGAATCTCCATGCGTATTCACTCATACGAGTCCGCTAGCAGCTTTCTCAGCGGAACTATATATTTTATTGGGGTACTGAACGGGAATCTGAAGTTTGCTGCCTCATAGCAGTAACGGCTCAGGAGGAGAAACGCAAAAAACCTCAAAATATTCGGAGTATTCCCGCTTATATCTTGCAAAAGACACATGTATTCAAACTTGAAGAGCATAAAATTCTGCCTCATAAACTTTGCCATCGTCATTCGAAGAAATGCAATTTTCACCAACCTTTGAAAAAACTGCAATATACTCATAGTTAGATGAATGTGATTTGAAACAGCCAGTCTATGTGAGAAACTAGTAGAATAAAAGTTGTGAAGCATCGAATTATGAGTCCAGTGAGCATGGAGATTTCAAATTTGGATCAATACATACTCATATATTGATCACTTCTTCATTTTTCCTCTAAACGCAACCATTAATTGAAGTACCAACTCCCCCTCCCTCCCTTTTGAACCCATCTTGCGCGCTTGTATCCACAATGCCCACCACAGTTAGTGCGGCATATGCATGTTTTTTTTTTTTATTGACTCGGCCGTTACTTGATGGAAATCCATGGCAAATGTAAAAACTTCACAAACGATAAGATTTCCACAAAATTCTCAAACACACGACATGTTTCGCTAACACAGTAGCTTCGCCAGGTGATATACTGGTACAATGAACTAAACTAACGTTGGCTCATTATATATCCTACTTTCCCAACCTGAAGGATTAGATACCTGTGAACATGTTCGATAAACCTCCATTTTCGAAAATTAGGCACAATACCTACATCAAAATACGGTGTACCGGATTAACTTGAAAGGGTTGATCGGGTCACCTGACGAAGCTACTGTGTTAGCGAAACATGTCGTGTGTTTGAAAAAAAAATTGTGGAAATCTTATTGTTTATGAAGTTTTTACATTTGTCATGGATTTCCATCAAGTAACGGCCGAGTCACTTCAAAAAAAGGGTTGATATCAAATACATATTATTACTTACTATTATCATAAAACAGATAGCAGCCAACAACGGACACAAAGTTGATTTGATAGACAGTATTATTTCTAAAAAACTTCATAACGAAGCTATTCAAGAAGTTTATCCTACCATCAAGAATAATAATCAAAATTATAGAACTTCAACCTATTTCCGATCATCAACTGAAAAATTAGCTTCATTTTTACATAAACAGGACTTAAAAGTAGCATTTAGAACTAATCACACGTTGGGAAAGTTTATCAAGAATAATAAAGACAAAACTTCTAAATTCGAAAAATCAGGAGTCAAACTCAACTGTGGATCTTGTCCTAAAATATATATCGGTCGAAACAAATTCAACATACGCCAACCATATATTAGAAGAAAACCATAGTTTTCAAGATAATTTCGAAATTCTACACGTACAAAATAAAGGAATGAAAATCAATCATTTTAAATCATTATAAATCAACACTCAAAAATTCTGACATTTTACTCAACGATCAATTAGACCTCAACAGTTCACCACTGTTGAATATGTTTTCTTTGTGAGTAGTAATATGTATTTGATATCAACCTTTTCAAGTTAATCCGGTACACCGTTTCAATGTAGATATTGTGCCTAATTTCCGAAAATGGAGGTTTATCGAATCTATCCACAGGTAACTAATCCTTCAGGTTGGGAAAGTAGGATACATAAGCAAGCTAAGGTTAGTTTAGTTCATCGTACCAGTATATCACCTGACGAAGCTATTGTATTAGTGAAACATGTCGTGTTTTTGAGAATTTTGTGAAAATCTTATCGTTTGTGAAGTTTTTAAATTTGCATGATATTTGCTGCATTAGTTTGTTAGGAGCAGAGAGTTTCAGGGTGGAAAGTGGGATCAGATCATTTTTGAGTGAATTTCAACTTGAAGGCAGATGTCACGTACTGCTTGTAGCGCATTCAAACTAGTTGTAAGATGGTTATCCCCGGAAAAGGCAACCAAAGATTTTCATTGGCTGGGCTGACGGATCCAAGAATTCTCCAACGGTCTCTTCAAGCTCTGGTTGTTGAGAGAGTTTCCAAGAATTCATCGCGTGCAGAAACATCATGAGCTTGGCAAGATTTTGTTTCACTGCAGACTGCAGTTGGTACAACTGAGGCATTTTACTCTTCTCTGACTTCATCAAATAGACGTTTGGAGAAATCATGAGACCCATTGCTGCTGCAAGATTATTGGACTAGTTTTTAACAAAGTTAAATCACAGTCGTCTAGAAGTCAGTTTACTGTACTTTTCACAAACGTCGGTGAATTATGACGATGGCGACTTCATCAATTTGACATGCTCTTCAACTTTGAAAACCATGACATTTTCTGTACGATGCGTCATTTACAAGACATGTGAGAAAAACCAATAAATCTTATTTAGATTCGCGTCCAGCACCCCAAAGAACAAATAATCCTGTTGAGAAACCGTCTACCGGACTCATGTCACGAGACAGGCACTTTTAAACACCATTTGATCATGCTATAAGAACATTCCCCAGTAAACAAATATAACAAATTACCAAATAACATATAAATATATAAAAATGAATGTTTTGTCTCTATGTCCTCTATAGAATCGTAAACGGCTTGTCGATTTCACTAATTATTTTTTGTTTTGTTTGTTATTGTCAGAAGAAGGTTCTTATGAGAGAAAAAATTAAGAAATTCAAGATGGCGGATCCAATATAGGAAATGAGTTTCGTAAATATAACCCGACTCTGTTTGAAATTAGTATCTGGGGGTTTTTGAGGTCGGAGAATATGATTCTTGCCTCAAAATTGAAAAATTCAAGATGTAGGATATAATATGGCAAACGAGTTTTGTAATTATGATCCGAATTTATTCAAAATTGATATCTGGGGGATTTCGGGATTGGAGATTATGATTCTTTCCTCAAAATTTGAAAATTTGAGATGGCGGATTCAATACCGCGGACGATTTTTGTAACTATAATCCGATTCTGTTCAAAATCGTTGTCTAGGGGTTTTTTGGTTCAGAGATCATGATTGTTGTGTCAAATTTTGGAAATTCAAGATGGCAGATCCACTACGGCATATGAGTTTATTGATTATGTTCCGATTCTATTTAAACTTGGTATTTGAGGGTTTGCGAGGTCGGAGATTATGATTCCTCCCTCATGATTAGAAATTTCAAGATGACGGATTCAATACGTCGAACGAGCTTTGTGATAAATAATGTTTCAAAAAACTATTGAAACACGCTTTCATATAGATAGCCAAACAAAAAAGAAGTAGAAAATAAATAGTAGTTTAGAGAACTAAAGAGAACTGAAAAGAAGTAGAAAACGAATGGTAGTTTTAAAATCTGAGAAAATAACACGCTATTATGGTTAGTCAAACTAAACAGAAGTAGAAAATAAAATAATGAGAGTGTGCTGTAAATCATTCAAGAGAAAATTTTTTTTAGAAATAATGTACACTCGTCTTCAGTGAACATAATGCGGTTGGACGATATGCAAGCTCTTATTGCAGCGGTGATTAGGAGAGTTGACACCGTCCATGTGCGACATGTTCTCTGAAGACAACTGTACATAACAAAACAACATTTGCCGGGACAGCTATAATCAATAAGATGACTCGAAATAAGTTCGATATTTGTGTACTGTCTTTCCTTCAAATTTAAGGTGCATCCTCAATCAATCTGCTCGCGAAGTGACACTTCGGCATGCGTGCTGCAAAACGGGTATCCTCAATCCTGTCAATTCAGTCAGCCTGAATGTGACCACAGAACTATTAATAGTTCTGTGAATGTGATGTCTGACGTGAAGTGATGGCATTTTTCCTTTTTTTTTATATTATTGTTCTTAATGGGTCACTTGAACGAGCTTTTTCAAGTAAGTTCTCATAAAAACCCTGTTTTTTCCTTAGCAAAAATATGGGATGTACCCCAAATCTTCTTGGTCGATAGTTATACCATCGAGGACGCCTAACTAATTGCATATTTTTTAAAAGCAATAAAACGAATTGTAAAAGCAATAAATTGTTCAACAACAAGCAAGCTTGCAATCTCAAGTCGGCGCGCATGTCAGCACGAAATTGAATTGAGGATACTTACGTTCAAAAGTCATTGTCCAAGCAAGCGTGCCGAAGTGTCACTTCGCCACTGAATTGATTGAGGATGGACCTTTATTTTAGTAACAGCGAATTCCATTGGCAGGAACTGGTGGAGTGTTACTGCACTCAATGTATATGTTTCCTTCTTAATCGCATGTGTTAAACAGTGGTATGTATACACTCACTGGAGAAACACTCCACCAGTTCCTGCCAATGGAATTCGTAGTGTAGCAATGCGGACAGGGTACAGCTGGTAAATAAATAAATAAACCGAAGACCGCCCGGCCTACCTGTCCTGCAGCAGCTCGTTAGTGCTCTGCTCCTCCTCGATCTCCTCCTCCAGCGCCGCTATCCTTGCCTCCAGCCGCCGCTTCTCGTCCACCAGCAGGCTGCCCTTGCTGTTGCTGCTGTTGATCTCCTCGAGCAGCTCGTCGCGTTCCGCCTCGGCCGCCCTTCTAGCCCGCTCCGAGCTCGACACGTCCTCGGTCAGCTGCAGCACCTAGTAACAGTATATCGCTAAAGATAAAGTGGTCGCACTTACTGTCGGTTCCTTTGCTGTTCGTTACTCCCGTTTGTTTACTGCAGAATGACACGCGGGAGTCGTAAGTTGCGGGTTATTCAGATGATGAAATGAAAATTACAAATATCTAACCTAACATCATGTAGGCACTTCGAAGGCGCAAATTCATCACTGCGTTGGAGATACCCTTCAGATTTTTTGCTGTGACTTGACCACGAATGACATTGCCGTTTGAGTCTTCTGCCCAACACCACAAGTAGATTCGACATGGACACAAATTTTAGTGAAAAACCATAAATGGTAAATTCGTGCCATTTGTAATAAAAGATAGGTAAGTCATGAGCAACTGTCCACAAGAAACCAGGACTATTTACACTAACAAGATGATCCGCTTCCATGTAAAATGTTGGAAACAAACTTTGCTTTAGTTCTTGACCGATTGGTAAAGCAACCTGTCTGTGTCAATTCCTCAATATACAAAAAGTCAAACGCAGCGATTTATTTCCTACTATGAACCGAAACTAGTCAAAAATCTACCCTTACAGTTAAAAATCTTGTGAAATAAAAGGATGAAAAAAGAGAAGAAAAAAAATATTGATCGTTATGACACATCCAGAAATCTATTCGACTAATGATGTCCTTCCTTCCTAAATTGCATATATAGTTTCAATTATCATATCATAATATTACAGGGTTGAAACTGAATATCTGTCTATCCCAGGATGTTCACAACCAGTAGTATAGTGGTGTGCTTTGGTAGAACTAGTAGAACGAATACCTACCTAGTTGAATTCGACAAGACGATGGGATGTCAGATTATTACGCCATCCTACTGTCATTATTACTCTTATTAGTCGATTCACCACAATAATGTCTGTCATTAAATGTTGAAAATCGAGTAAGCAATCGATTATCTATCTACATATCTTGTCTATACTCTCGAAAAATAAATTTCGAATATATTCTCTCTGATATACACTGGCCATTCATGGCAAACAGTATATACAAATGCTGAAAATGGTATGAGGGATATAAAACTATGGCTAGACATCAACCTACTGAGTCTGAATATAACGAAAACAAAATTTATTACCTTTACCTTACAAAATAGTGAACAACCGACAAAGGAATACATGAAGATACATAAGCAAAATTGCACCCTAAATGAAACATGCTCCTGTCCCACATTCCAGAAAACTAATAAACTTAAATACCTAGGGGTTATCCTGGACCAACATCTTAGATGGGATGAACATTGTATATATCTATCAAAAAAACTGAGACTTTTAACTCATAAATTTTATACATTAAGAGATATACTATCAAGAAAAAATTTATTTATGATTTATTACTCCCTGGTAGAGTCCATTATACGATACTGTATAACTGCATGGGGAGGATTATTCGATAAAAACTTAAATTGCCTACAAACTTTGCAGAATTCTATAATCAAAATAATGCTAAATAAAACAAAAACCTTTACTACTACCAGACTTTTTGAAGAATGCAAACTATTAAATATAAGAAGTCTTTATTCCTATGGATGTCTAATATGGATATATGGTAATAAACACAACTTCCGCACAGACAATACCAAGAAAACAACTAGAGCATGCGAAAATTTAGTTATCAACTCACAATTTTTCAGAAAATCTCACACGCAAAGATTCGTCACTTACTTTGCCCCAAAACTTTTTAATGCCCTACCCATAGAATATAAAAAAATTACAAAAATCAATATATATAAAATTTCTATTAAAACATTCATCTTAGAAAACCAACCTCTCATTGAAAAAATATTTTGAAAAAAAAAAAAAATTACATTTCCTTCGAGGAAGCTAGCGTAATGATACTGACGATATACTTTAGCACAAACATATGTTACCCTCTCTCGTTTCTGTTCAAGAAAAACTAACAAATATACAATATTTTATTTCCTAAGGAAGTTGGATGCAAAACACAATACAAGCACCATTAGTGCTTAGGTGAAACATCCAATTTCTATTTGAGGATTACAGTATAAAATTAACCATATTATACGGTAGTCAGATTGAAATTTCTGTTAAATGAATCTATCATAATCATCTATTTGACTAGCGTTATTTGAATCTGTATGAACCTGTTCTAAATTTGTATCGAATTGAATAAATTGAATTGAATTGAATTCTGCAATACCTTCGCTAATCAACATCAATAAATAATCAGGGCAAGAAAATAAGATGGCTGCTACGCCGATGTAGATGTAGTGGTACAGACAGGGTGTCCTCTTTTCCTCTCGGAAATGTATAGATGGGGTCAAAATATCACCAGTACTTCCTATAACTGTTTTCCTAAAATCCTTCGTTACCAAGTTACGGGCCCTCAAAGTTACAAAATGAAAAATGTTTTTCTTCAATAACTTTCAAAGGGAATATGTATTCATATTTACGCAAATTTTGGTGATTGACTGAATAAATGAATTCCTTCGATGAGCTTTCATGCAGGAGTCTGTTGCTTCCCTACAAAATTGAGAACCAACTACCCCCGATGGTTCATACCCCAAAACTTTGAAATGACCGGTATTCTTCAATATTTTTGAAGGAAACAAGGTTCCCCAAACAATTTCCAAAATGAAATTACTCGTGTGGAAAATCGATCAGAACAACGATTTTTGATAAAAATGCACTTTCATGCAGCAAAAATAATTATAATAATTCAACATCTATAACAGGGGTAATACAAAATATGCTAGAATAAAGTCGTAAGCAAACAGTACAGTACCTAGGCCCGTAACTTGGTAACGAAGGATTTTAGGAAAAAAAGTGAAGTACTGGTGATATTTTGATGATAACAATTGTAAGCTTCATTATGAAAGCTCTTTTATTGGGATTGAAGTACTAGGTAATTGAAAGGAGGGGTGATAAAAAATTTCACAAGCGAACAAAATGGCGGAAATAACCTAAAACCTAATTTTGTGGGGTACGTACCCCTTCAAAAATATCTATTTAACCCTTAAACAAATTAGTCGAACCATCCTCAATAAGCCAAGGTCTCACCCTTGCAAGTTTATACAACTTACCATTCTACAACTAGTTTGTCTGTATATACTCGAGGTTCCTTGTTACATAAACCTCAATAGAAATAATCTAATTGCACACACTGACATGCACTCCTATTCAATAAGGAATAACAGCCTAATTTACCACCCTAAAAAACCTTTCAACTAACCTACACCAGCCCTACAAATATGGGTATCAAAATGTTTAACAATTTGCCAGGAAGTGTGAGGGATTGTACCACTCACCTCAAATTCAGAAATAGCCTGAAAGCTCTCCTCACTGAAAATGTTTTACTCACTTAGTGAGTTCTTTGACAATGTTTCATGAATTGTTTTCAACTTTTTTGATGTTATTTTATCCAAAATTTTTGTAAAACTCATATTGTGATTTACTACTATTGTATTGTATTTATTCTAGATAAAATCCTGACGAATTGTATGCAAGTATTGATTTTTGTCAATCATAATAAATTTATTCTTTTCTATTCTATTTCACCATTCACCATGGGCGAGTGGACTGATAATGAATTATTGGCATTCAATTACTCCACGGTGTCGTTATGAACCTAAATTAATTTAAGTGTCACTTCTCACGCTTTTTTATGCAAATAATAAGTCTATGCGTTGTTCAAAATAGTTAAATTTCAGAACTCATTTCAAACGTAACATCATGGCCGCCATTTACGTCGAATAAATGGTGACGTCAGTTTTTATGCTGTTTCGTTATTGGTCAGATAATCTTCCATTTCCACTCATAAAGCAAGGTTGTCAAGTCACCAATTTTAATCAAGTTATCAAACAGATGTTTGAGTCCTGTCGTTGAATGAAACATAATAGGAGAAACTTATGACATTATAGTTCATTCTCGACTATTTCGAGCAACCAGCATGTCCAAATATTTCTCATTCTTCATAACAAAATATCATGTGAATGTTGGAGACTTGGCAACATTGTGCTGAATGCTGAGAACTGACAAGACCACGCCCACAAGTCGTGCGTGGGGTTGCCACTTTCATCGATTAAAATGTCCTCTAGTGTGAATTAACATATAATTATTATGTACACAAATTTATTATGAGCAATAAGCCACAAATCATGAGGAAACATTTTGATACAATTGAATTTTTATTGCTAATTAGGAATATTACCAATACTCAATAGAGAGGTTATAAATTATTGAATAACTTATATTTCTGAAGTCCCGAATCGTATTTCAACACATGGAAAATGTGCTATGGTCTGTCCCAACTTACGAAATCGTGACGTCAGTTTTTACTGGCGGTAAATTTCTAGCCGTCTGAAAATTACCGTGGCATTACTGATGATTTCAGCATCAAAAAATTGACCGAAAAATACTTGAAAATTATGAAATTGAAAGGTATTTGAGTGATGATTCTATTTAAGAAAAAAAAGTCCACTCGCCTATTGGTAACATCGTTATTATTAAAAATATAACATTGTTCAAATCAGCAAACTAGCAGTAGTTTTGAAGGTCTTCGAGAAGAAAGAATAAAAAATATGTGACGCTTTCGTGTTTGGTCGAAAAATGTTTTTTTCCAATTGGAAATCTCGATTAGATCTATTTAATTTTTTAAGTTTTCCACTAACCTCCGCCTCGAGCGTCTTTACTTTCCTCTCGGCCTCTTTGCAGGAGGCGGCGTACTCGTCTCTCGCCGCTCTGCATTCCTCAGAGTCTCGAATGGCCTCTTTGCACTGCTGCTGGGACTTTTTCAGTTGCTTGAGGGCGTCCTCCTTCACTTTGCAGTGGAGTTCGATTTGGCTTTCCAGTTCCTTGATATCACCTGAATAAGGACGTTAGTTTAGGCCATGAATATTTACACTGAAGATGAACCATAATTATGAGAGTAATGAAGCCAGAAATTCTATTCGGTAGGGGGCAGTATCTATGAGCGACAAGGTGAACTACTTTCTGTTGAGGAGCGGAAGGCCCTGGTAGAGATCGGTTATACAGAATATATTCGAAGTTAATTTTTGGCTGTTTTTATGCAAGAAGGAATGTCGCTTCAGAACCGGATTATTTTTTTTAAATTCAAAAGCCTTCATAATATCAAAGTTGAAGATTTTCCTGCTTTGGAAAGACGGATATTCCTAGATAGCCCAGCAATTTGCAGATAGATGGTATTCTGAGAGTATAGACAAATCGGACATATTTTGCTGAGTTTCGCTAGCGCCGCCTATGAACCAGCCAAGAACTATGGCCAAATTTGACTTCAATATTTCACATCTTGTAAGTGTAAATAATCAAGGGTTTAGGGAAACATATTCGGTACCTATGCGGTTATCCCCAAAATATGACAATAGACGGGTTCCTGGCCGCCGCACACGTGCACTTCATGAGGAGAAGCGCCTTTCTTTTTGTGAAGAATTTACGTGTTTTTCCGCGATATTATACTAAGCGCTAATAATTGACGACATGCATTCAAACCGCAGCTGCCGAAAGGGCTCAAATGGATTACGAAAAACTGAAGGAAATTAAAGGGGACTTCCGTGTTTTCAAATTGCATGCCGATGTATCGACCAACACTACTCTAGACTTGGGGTTTTCCAAAATTCGCCGAAATATGTAGACATTAAGTGTTTCAATGAAATAAAAAGTTTTGTCAGAACGATAACTATTTTCTAGCAACTATTTTCAAGAAGAACTTGCATACTTTCTTATGTGATAGTTTTGATTGGGATTGATGAATTCCTCAATTCCTAATTAAAACAAGAAAGTTTTTTTTTATTACTATATATTTACACAGATTATAATGAATATTATTAAGTATGAAGTTCTTTCTTTGACTATTCTAATGTATTTTATAAAAAAAAGAAAAAAATATTATTGCAAATCCATGATGCATAATCTATTTCTCTAATTATTCCATTCACGAGTTTTCAGATACTAAGAATATTTGACTCCCATTATATGTATTTTATGCATTTAGTCGTATACTTCTAAACGTTTTTGTCTTGACTAGTCCAATGAGTTTTACATGTGTATGTCGGCGTCAAACAGTGAAGTCCGTCATTCCCTGGAATGCCTAGTCATTTCACGTATTGCCAGCAAACAGCGTAACTCTAAATTTCGTACACCGTTTGCCTAATAGTTTCAGGCATTCCCTGTAATGACGGAAGGAAGGTTCATTTAGTCCGAGTCAGCTTAGGTTGTTTAGAAGCAGTAGTCTCTTCTGTTCTCAAGTAATTTTCTGAAAAATATTCTTTCTAGGTATAAGGCTCATTTAGGCAGAGTGTGGTTATATTTTGTTTAGGAAAAATATGCATATGCAGAAAGGATATTTTCATTCCTCAACCCTCCGGCAAACAGAGTATCGGCTGAAAATGGAAGTTACGCTGTTACTCTGTTTGCCGACAATACGTGACATGATTAGGCATTTCAGGGAATGACGGATTTCACTAATTGACGCCGACATAAATATTATTCTGTATGTGCATGTAAAATTCCAGTGATGAATGAATTTCATTCTATTCTATAAAGTCAAAAGTACCTTCAAGCTTCTTCCTGGCACTAACGGCAGCAGCCCGCTGCTTCCTCTCTTCGTCCAACTCGGCCTCGAGATCTCTCAGCTGCTTCACGATACCTCTTCTCTTTTCTTCTGCCTGCTCCTCCTTAGCCTGCACGTCTCTCTCGAACTGCGTCCGCAACGCCTGCATGTTCACCTCCAACCTGTAACGAAATCCTGCGAGCTGTAGATTCCTGCAGGTACTTTGGCGGATCACGAAGGCTATAGTCGTTAATATGGGTATAGGTCGCGTGCACGATGACTGACCCTGGAGGTAAAATATTGACACACAACCTCACTCTTCTGTGAAACATTGAAACATCACTTGGGATTGCGAGGGAACTGAGAACTCTGGCAGACCGGAACTGCGTCAAGCTAATCTGGGTGCCAGGTCATCAGGGGATCGCTGGCAATGAGAAGGCTGACAAACTTGCAAGAAGAGGGGCGGACAACGAGCCAGATCCAGGACAGACTCTTGGAGTTCCAAAACGTACAGCACGTGTGTCAGTTAAAGACTGGATTCAGGCAAAACATAGGAGCTACTGGGAAAACAGACATGGGAAACAATACATTAAGGAACCAAGTCATAAACGAACTGTAGACCTGCTCAACTTGAACAGAGCACAGATAAAGACCGTTACGGGACTCATGACTGGCCATGCGCCAGTAAAGGAGCATCTCGCCAGAATGGGACTGTACAATGGCGACCCAAGCTGCAGACTATGTGGCAAGGAACCAGAAACAGTAGCACATATACTGTGCCGATGTGAGGCATTGGACCGCAGAAGACAGAAGATCTTTGGGCAACCAGTTGGCGAACCAGAAGTATTCAACTCACATCCAGTGAAGGATTTGTACAGACTTGTTCAAGGTACAGAGATAATGGAGTGGGCACAATAAAGAGATACAATGGGCCACCATAAGCATAAGTGTCGTCGGAGACATTGGTCAGACGAGCCAACAAACGGGGTGGAGTTTTTAGTGGGTAAACCGTGGCTAGAGTCAGGGGAGTCCCACACTATCATATGTGGGACTGGACCCATATGGTGTCCATAAAGGATTTAAACCACCTCGACAAAAAAAGCTCACTCTTCTTATTTGTTTACAGAGGAATCAAAGGATTGAAATAGTTTTTCACAATATTGTGGCATACGAATCGTGTTTTTTGCGCTATTTATTAATTCAAGCATGCCTTCTCATTGTGATGTTGTACAATGCACAAAAGATGCAGCGAGAGACGAAGGAATATGATTTTTCAGGTAAATAGTAATCTCACATTCCTTATAGGCCAGGCGGCAGGTAATCTGAACCGTAAAAAAATGTTGGCAAAGATTTTATTGTTTTAAATGGTTCATTAGGGTGAGATTAGCAGGAACCTAGGTTTTCCCCACACCCCCTAGGCCCGCGCCGGTCTTCGTGAGGCTCCAAAGGTACAAATTTTGGGTTTTTCGGTAATATCTCGTTTTCTCTTCGTCGTACGGTCAAAGTGGTCCTATATGAAATTAAAGGTGACAAAATTCTGTACAAAATAGTTCTCTATCATTTTTTCATGGGACTTATAGTTTCGAAGCAGTAGCCGCGCGAAGCTATGCGATTTTCGACAAATGCAGTAAATATCGACTCTTGCTTACCAAATTCCACTCTTCTCTTGTTCTGGTGACTGTTGACAATATGAATAAGCACATATTGCATAAGTTCTGATGAAAAAGTATAGAATTTTGGTTGAAATTGTGAATAGTTCGATTTATTGCGGCTTTCATTAAATACATTTCTGCAGCGAGTCAGTTTTATCAATTCAATCGTCTTCTTTTTGACAAAGTACGACGTTCTCGGGTAAAAGGTTCGTCCTGAGTTGGTATATCACCCGAAGTCGATGGTTCAGCAGTGATTTCTCTTTCGTCGAACCTACCCTCGTTGTCGACCAAAGATGACTCACTCTCAGAATCAGTCAGGTAAATATCTTGTGCAGCTGAATGTTCGAAATGCACATCGTCGTCATCAACGTCGAAATTCTCTTCCTCAATATCGACATTTGTGCAGGACTGGCCCCGGCAGCTTCCGCAAATTATCGAGCAACGCAGCCCAGTCTTTCTGCAGCTACAAGCTGCTCGACACCCTTGTTTGCACTTGCAAGATATTGTGCTGAGAAGCTCCTGTGGGGCAGCGTCTATTAGCGTAGGAATAGGTGTCAGTCCATTCCTCGTACTCTTCCAGCCCCAATCTTGCGGACTCTTCTTGTTTCCGTACCACTCTTGAATCTGATGGTAGGTTCTGAAGGAGTGCTGCCGTGCTGCTGCTTCGGTTGGTGGTAAAGATGCAAGATTGCAAGCACTCTTAGAAATTGATTTCGTGAAGCACTGAAACCTGCAGTCATTTAACGATGTGTCACCGCTCGCTCCATAGAGTGCTCTAATGAAAGATTTCCCGGCTGCCTCAATCAGGTCTGGAGAAGCATTTGGGTCTTTGAAGATTCCAACCGTTCTTGGTAAATTCATATTTTTTTGCAATAGCTTAACGAATTTCTGTTTCCCCTGCCTGAAAAATGCTGAGGTTGTGTCGCACCCACTGAAGGCATGAAGGAAGAGTATGTGCTCCGCAACTTTTTCCGAGTGTTTGAATGATTTTGTCGAGTAAATTCTGCTCTCAATCTTTCCTTTCCCTGGTTTCATGAGATAAACATTCGACAAAGATGATGCGAGGCCTGTTAATAGTACGAGAAGGTCGACATCTTCACCCACTACCACTACGAAATCATAGTCTGGCGATAATTCAACCGCGGTGTTAATTATCAGAGTGTCAGCGTCTTCAGCAGCTTGCTTTACCAGAAATCCTGCAGCTCGAAGTTTGCCCCCCAGCATGGAAATGAGCCGACTTTTGTTCTGGTCATTGGCGAGGAATTTTTCCTGTGACATTGTGGCTGTCATCGTTTCATCAAACATCACATTAGCTGCGACGTGCCTCTGCGATCTACGGAGTCGTTCAGCAGATTTAGTACTTTTGTTCTTAGCATCATTTGGATAGCCGTCAAAAACAACTACGCTGTTGGCCTTGTAGTACTTCTGAACGTATTGTACATACTTCGAAAGAATATTATCGAACGTCTCTTGTTGGTACCAGACCACACGATGGAGAAGGAATCCACCGTCTATAACATGTACCACGTTATCTGCATCGTTGATCGGATGAGCCACATGAGAAAACATATTATATAATGATGATTTCTTTGTTTTACGCATTCCTATTTCATCAAAAAGCGAGAGTGGATAAGGAGCTAATTCGAAGTGAAAATATTGCTGCAAATCCTGTTCCGTTTTCTTGGCAATTGTAATTCTTTGAAAAATTAATGAAGGATCAACAGGAACCACTTCATTTTGGATATTTAGTGAAGAGTTCACTGCTCTTAAGGGAATTACTCTCTTCTTCCGCTGGAATTTTACATCTCCAAAGTTGCCGCCAACGATAGCTGCCATTGATAACACGCCGACTTCGTTTGCTCTATAGCAGTCGATTTTCACATCTCCCTGTACTCCTGTGCTGATAGACATAATCTCGAGGCTGACTGGGAAGGGATTGTGCGATGAAAACCAATCAACGAACTTTTCGAGGTCTTGTGTATCCCTTGATATTCGCGATACTCTGGCATCTACATGCTGTTCGGAAGTAGCAAACGATACGCTGCAGAAATTTTCAATGGCCTCAGACACTTCCGCAAGAACAGGCATTGCAAGAATCCATTTCGCCAGGACACTGTCGGTGATTCCTCGGCCGTGTGTCAAACCACCAGTCGATTTCATAGATCTCATGAGAGTCTGTTCTATCGTCATGTCTGACCATATGCCACACCAGAACTTCTCAGAACGCCTAATTGTAAAATATCCTTCATTCACGAAGCGGCTATATTCCATGGGAGTCATCTTCGTCCTTAGATCGAGCATATCTTGCAGATATAGTTGAGCAGACTTCGCATACAAAAAGTGACCGCTGGCGTGAAAGTATGGTAGCATTCTTTGTATCGTCTTCAGGTGCAAGTCCCAGTTTCCTGTTCTTTCCGCTTGGATGAACTGTTTCACCAAGGTGACCATGTCGAAATATTGCACCCACAGTTTGGCTGTTGGTTCATTCTCTGCGAGCCCGTTCAACGTCTCGGTGAATTTCCTTATTGTATCCTCGAAATGTTCCCCTTCAATCCTGTTCAAGAATAACGGATTACCGATATTTGAAAGAGCATCTTCCATATCTGCACGTTCCTCCGTAGTAAAGCCCACCGCAGAGAAGACAATCTTGGCGAGAGCTACATGAGCTAGAATATGTGCTCTTAAGGCCCTTGCATACGCATGACCAGTCAACATTTTTTCCGTAGACGCAGTTGCATAAACGACGTTGAAAAGGTCTCTCAGTCCACTTCCGTCCATGATGTAGCCTATTGAACCCATGAATGACATAAGTAGATGGAAGCCACCAAGTCTGACTATAACTGCGCTCAGATCGGAGCTCTCAGGGACAGATGCGATGATATCCCGAGCCTTGATATAGAGCGGCTGATCGAATGTTACGAAACAGCTGCTTTGACCCAACGACTTGCATTTCTCAGCCGCGTTAAGAAGAACGGTATATATCGTATCATGATTGCTTGGGGGTGCTTTAACGAACGGTAGATACAGTAGACGTGACTTTGAATATATCATGTGTGACGTGATTTGTTCCATATAACCATTCCAGCCTGGGATAGTTGGCATACCGTTCGTTTTTCCATACAGCCAGAAAAAATCGCTGGATAGTAAACTAACTCTACTGGAGATGGGATTGATCTCGTTTAAATCTTTTATGTTTATTCTTGTCAATCCATTATTACCGGTCTTGTGAAATGTTCTCAAAGGAACATTACCGAATTGTCCGATCGTATGGGCACGTGGAATATTGGACAGCCTCTTGATTTTTCCATCCGAAGAAACAGTCGTAGAAGGAGTTACGCACTGGATTCCTCCCATCGTATGAAAAGTATTCAAACCGTCGATGGTATTGATATTAACGTCTCGAATGTCACTATTTCTTCGTAAGAAGCGCAGAATCCTAAAGCCGACAATACTTTCAAAAGATCTTTGGATCCATATTTTCTACTAAAGAACGCTCCAAGGCCGATTTGAAGAGACGACAAGAAGGACTT